TGATTTACGAGCCGTGAAGCAACCTCGCGCACGGCGCGCGGATTATTATTAACTCCGCGGCAGATTATAGCTCGCGATAGCTTACCAAACATTTCATCATTAATGATCAGTAATGAATTCCTCGTCACTCCTTTTACTTATTTCCTCCATTCAATTCGAATTCTGTTGAGCTCGATGCTTCAGAGTTGAACTTTTTCAAGTTCTTTTAACGTTCCCTCTATTCAATTCGAATTCTGTTGAGCTCGATGCTTCAAAGTTGAAATTTTTCAAGTTCTTTTAACGTTCCCTCTATTCAATTCGAATTCTGTTGAGCTCGATGCTTCAAAGTTGAACTTTTTCAATTTCTTTTACCGTTCTCTTCAAAGTGTAACTCAAAGTTTCATTGTTCAAAGCAGCGCACTGCAGTCATCTATTCCCAAATTAAAATTTTTATAACCTCAATCCTATTATTCCTTTCTTCTTTGAATTCCAGCGCCGTTTAAGACACCCAAAGCGAAAAAAGAAGCAGACACTTCGAAGCGCAAAGCGACTCCCACGAAAGGCACTGTCGCAAAGCCGAATAAGACGAAACAAGAAGACAAGTCCTCCAGCGAGGATCTGGCAGATTCGAAATCGAAGAACCGTAAAGCAGTTCCGAGTAAAGACGATTCCTTCGAGGCGTTTCAGAAGCTGTGCGAGGACATTGCCAAAGTCGACGCGTACACCGACAAGACCGCAGTCGTTAGGAAGATGCTGACGAAAGGATCCACTGGCGGTGAGTGTTTTCGCTCGTATAACTCGTCCCCTAGTTCTAACACATCGCAGACCAATCAGAATCCGAGAAATAATTACAATGATAAGTTCCAAGGGAATGGCGATACTAATCATCACAGCGCTATCTTCTTTATGCGACCGTATGACGTAAAGGATACGAGTAATAATATATTAAAATAACTTAGGGATAAGATAACGGGAGCCGGACGCTGTTGCTAAACCTTGTCCAGAACCGGAGATTATTCTAAAACTTCGGTTCCAACGGATGTAGGAAACCGGTTCCCTGATTTCGACGAACGTTTCAGCGTTAGAAAAATACAACGCGATTAAAAAATCGTCAGAGAATTACTACGAAACTGAGATTTTTCACGAGAAACTGATACGAGTTGGACCAGTATTCGAAATTTCTCGGGAAATTCGAGGAACTCTATGAATATTTTTAAAATTCTGAGTTCCATTTATGAAACATAATTAGACAGACTTTATCACAAGAGCTGTGAATTATCCTAAACCCAGAATTTCGAGAATTAGACAAATGTTTCGATTACGTAATACTGTGTTTCACGCTCTTTATTCGCATTTGTAGTTTATTGTGAGAAACACATTTATATACATGAAAGATGAAATCGGTGAGTGCTTCCAAAAACACACTTCTTTTTTTTGTCAGTTAGTTCTTGGGGAGTTCGATCAAGATTTTATGCTTACAGATTAAAATTATTGTATTTTTTAATAAATTTTCCTAAAAAAACGTAGACATCCGTAACCGTCATTTGTTTTTTACAGCTTCGATTTCTCTGATACGCAAAAAACGGCTGTAGACGTCCACCTTTTTTTAGGAAAATATATTAAAAAAAAAAAGAGAAACT